TTATGTTCAAAAGCTTATAAATTTAAAATTCGGCTTTGCTTTCTGTAAAATCCTCGGGTGGCGCTCTTCCAGTGTGGAGAAGCTTGGTGCAGAACAGCCCGGGCATTGGCAACTGTAGCAAATCGTGGGACAACGGCTTTGAGCGGGGACATTCAAAGGGTTCCTTGTGAAACAAGTGATATTACTCTGGGGAAAGATGAGATTACTGTACTTGAAACTGGTTCACCTACCTAGCAGCTCCTTCTCCCTTTAGGTTTAGGTTAAAGTCTCCTTTTCGTTTGCGGTAATCCCAGAGAGAACCAGAAGAATCCCAGAGCTGGATTTCTCACCAAAATCTTCTCGAGTTCCTCCGCCCCTAAGGTTACCAGCCGAGCAAGGTTACTAGAGAGAAATGAGCCCCTATTTGTGTGGAATCTCTTCCGCGGTAGCTACTGAAGTGTAGAAATTGTTTAAAATGCGTTGGAATTTCGCGTCAAGCTTTTTTTACATTGTAATTTTCTATAATGATGGCTCACTTCACAGGTAACGATTGTCTTCGACAATTCTCGGCACACGGGGCAAGTGCACGTGTATCTGTCTACTGTGATCTCCTATGTTAATGTGTGCAATGGTCGAGTAATTAAAGGTGATTACCATAACAATAATAATAGTAATAGAGTACTCACTTGACAATACTTGTCATTTACTCCCTCTCTGTTAAATTCCACAGGTGCTAATCAAAAATTTTCCCCTGGAGTATATTTGGCTAGGATTTTATCCATTTGCCACCTGAGCACGAATGACACGCCCATTTATCTCGGTACATGCGTTATGAGCACAGTAGCCAAAGCCACTAGAGCTAGCCTTCTTCGCGGGCAAATCGTTTTCGCTGTAATAATAAATAGGATGTAATAATCGTGCTTAGGAGGTCAACTTTCCCCGGGGGATCCAGATGTACGCAGATTTTTTAGAGGAAAACCCCGCTCAAAATCCGACCTAGATCTTGAAATTCAGGGTAACACTTTAACAAAGCTTTTTTGCTATTTTTTGAGGTCCTAGCTCATGCTGATTATGAGAGGGATCGGTTCGCTCCTTCCATGCTCACAGAAGCGTGAAGATGGGGACGGGGGAGGAGAGGGAGGAACGGCTTAATGAGGTGCTACAATGAACGAATTACTTCTCTCGCGCGTTCTCGAAGGACTGCCCTCGTACTTCTTGAGACGGGTCTCGCACCACCGAATCAAAATTAACACAGCAATCCTCCGAGGCCCACTGGCCAAGACGATCAGATTGGCTATAACCCAAGATTCTCCTGATTTGGAATCGTTTTCTTTTTTCAGGAGTTGGAACGAACCTTGATACGTTGATTATGGGCATCACAGATGTAATTGTTTTGCTGTTGTGTATATTTTCGCTTATCCTGTGCTTCAGGGCCTTAGTGAAAGCTCATTTGTTGAAAAACGTGAGTTGGTTCGATTTTTTCTGCATTCGATAGCGGAAGCAAGAAAAGGCACTTTCAGAAAGCAATGGATTATTTTGAGAATATGTTCAAAATAAAAATGTCAATTTCTGATCAGCTGGACTTCCTCAATCTTTGGTACTTTTTTCTTATTATTCAGCCGACTATTACAACCTCTTGATACCTTTTTTTCTGCAGGGAGTCATGCGTTATTTGTTTAATTATTTATTTATTTATCATTATTATTTATTTAGTTATTCAGTATCCATTACTAGCCTAATGGGCGCTGTTTGTCGACGGGGGGGCACTTTTGCTAATCATTGTTCCCTGGCCTTTGTGAATCTTGTGAAGCTGAAGTAAGATCGTCTAGCCACTATCCTAAAACAATTCAACTCGAGAAACGGCTCCCGAAATGGGTCGACACACCTATGGAAAGCAAAATCCTCCCTCCCTTTCCCCCCACCCGCCGTCGACAAAGCCCTGCTAATGTGGCATTTACTTCGGCTCTGGCGGTGGAATCAATGCAATATCGCGGCGCCGTTTTCAAATGAAAAATGTCACCTACGCGATCAAGACTTTTAGATACCTCAAAGTAATTCAGACAAAATTCCAGCATTTTGGGAGATTTCGAGGTTGTAATTGTTGCAATTTTCAGCCCCTTCTTACCCAGTCGTTGCATTTTTTTTGTTTGAATATTGTTAAAAGTTATTGCTTTCAGGTATGTGATGATTGTCATCAACGACGTTCTTATCATTGTTGGAACGTTGAGTAAAATTTCCATAGAGTTCCGTGTGAGTAAAAAATTTATGATGCTTTTGATGGATTTTGTTTATTTCGTGCAAGAAAATGTGGGCTAGCTGAGGTCGGAGGAAGGGGGAACGTGGCTAGGCAAGGTCGCGCCTACTTGGTTGTCTGTCGCTCTTGCACGCTGATCCTGTTGGAGAAAAGGTCAGTATTTTGTGGGAGTGCGCAGACGAGCAGACATAGGTTACAAGATAACTAGAAGCTCTGAGGGGGTTCCTGGCGCGAAAGGTCAGAGGGCAGTGAAATAGAATACGGATGGCAAGGCGTCGAAAGATGCAAAAAGCGTGTCCTGAGCTTTTTCGAAATGAATTTGAATGTGCAAAGTCACAGAACGCCGTGCAGGCGAGAGAGCGCAGAGAAAAACAGAAAATTGAGGCCATCAAACGTGTTGAGTTTAAGTTGTAAGTAGACCCTGATTCAGTTGCATCGTCGCTCGGCTCGTCCCCGCTCCCCCCTCTTCTCGCCCTCCTTGGCGCCCCGATTCCACCAATTTGAAAAAATTCTCATCAAAATCATTACTTCAATGAATGCCTTCACCTCGATACTTATTTTAGGATTTTGACAACTCAATTTTCACGCTTACGGGAATTTTGCTGGGCATGGGCGCTCTTCTGGTCTACGTTGGTGTGCTTCGTTACTTTGGGTTCTTTAACCAATATAACGTAAGTTTCTGCATTTCCTAACGGCACAGTCTCAGATTCCTGTCGGCCTGTGAGGGTTACCTTGATTTAGTTTGAGAGTTTCCTCGAACAATCTTCTTCAGATCCTCATCCTCACTTTGAAGAAATCCATTCCGAGCATGGCACGGTTCATGTCCTGTGCTGTTGTTTTATACGTCGGATTCTTGATTGCTGGTTGGGTCATTATTGGACCCTATAGCATGAAGGTGAGTATGCTATACTGTGAATAAAACTCGGAAAATGTCGAAGGAACGTTTTTGAAATTAAACCTTGAACCTTTGGTCTCATTGTTGGCTTTTTGTCGCTAGCTCGGAAATGTCACCAACAGGTTAAGTCCTGCCGTTGAGAAAAAAAATCTCAAAAGACGATCTTCTCCTTCGAAATTTCCTCCTCTGGTGCAACCCCTTCCCCGTCCTCCACCCCTCCACTCCACACGTCATCTTCCGAACATATTCCTGAATTCACCCTGGATTCTCCCAAAATTGCACCTTGTTTCACTGTTTCGAGGTTGTTTCATAAGTACTTCAGTCCCTCCACACCCACATCCTTCCCTCCCCACCCCTCTCCAAGGAAAAACTGCAATTGAGCGAAGGGAGACCGCGACCGAAAATAATCTTTTCAGAGTACTCAGAGGCAAATACGACTCCTTCCCTTCCTCGAGCGACTACAGGGGGGGGGGCAAAAAAAAGTCACTTTTCTTCATTGACTTTCGTGGCGCTATAAGTTACACTTTATAAATTCTAATCGGACATTTCTACCACCATATTAAAGAGCATATTAAATACTATTATAAAACTCCGCCACAGCCTTCTGGACGAGCGCCATCGAGAGATTCTGGCACGCAACCGCAAATGGTTGCGCTGAGATGCCACCGAGATGGTCGCTTTCCGCGCGTGGCACCCCTATTGAACTCCGCCCGAACCGGGTAATTGAGGGGATTCAGGTAAGATGACCTACTAGGATATTCAACTTCTTTAGGTATTCAGCCCCCTTCCATTCCAACGGCGAACCAGTTATCTCCAACGCGCTACATTCCCGTTGACTCCACTGGGCACAATGCTGTAGCAGTACAAAGTTTCCAAGAAGGTAGGGGCGGCGACATGTGGAGAGGATATTCTTCTTTAGTTGCTCGATGTAACCGCCAGCGCTCACCTTCAGTCCGGGGTCCACGAAGAAAATATTGGTCTTTCCATTCCAGGTACCTCCGGTCCATACCATCAACCCGCTCCTGACGACTTGCTTGTCATGAAAGATGATGTCCTAGACGTAGCGGACATTGGTCGAGCTGCTCGATGGTTGGCAGGCTCTTCCATATTGAGCAGTACTAGTCTCAAGGCTAGCTACCTGGTTGGACGCGCGCTAGCAATTTCGCAGCTTGTTGGGTGACATGAATTCCAAAGCCGTCTTCTCCAGCCAGGGCTGCCGCTTGGAGAGTTGGCCTCATATTCTGTGTACACGAGCTTGATTTTAAGCGAGGCCAGCTCCTGCTTATCGAGGAACATCGTATCTTCCGCCCTGGTACTCGTATCCACATCTTCTCTCTGGGCTGCAAAAACTTTGCTGATATGTGACTCGGTCGAAGTGACTTTTCCCCCCCCCTGTATATACGATCCTCCCACCTTGCGCGACCCTAATATAGGACATGTCTTCCTCACTAGTAAAAGCACTTGCAGGAAGAACTCCGCTCGCACGATAAATCGCCAACAAATGAAGTCTCAGGAAACTCTATGCTTCTCTCTTTAAAAACTCTCTTCAACACAAAAAAGGAGAATAGTTTACAGGTATCTCTCTGGCGCTAAATGTCAAAAACGTTCTCAATACGAAAAGAATACGCCACCCCGCCCCCGCCTCCTCCGAGTAATATGCTTGGCCGTTCTGGTTTTTATTCTGCTATTTTTTCCTCACTTACAGAGTCAAGGCAGTTGCGATACACAGCAGTTTTGAACGGTTCATAGAGAAACAATCGGATCATAACGCTTTTGCTTCATGAAATTCCCCATAACTATTTTCTCCTTTTGATAGAGAACACCCTTGTATTCCATTCCGTTTGCTTGTATTGTTCAATACAAAATTGTTTCCCGATGAATAATCTGCGTTTGTTGCAGTTCCGAACCGTAGGAGAGTCATCTGAAGCTTTGTTTTCTCTGATGAATGGAGACGACATGTTTGCGACTTTTTACACTATCAACGACTCAAACACCGTTATTAAGGTATGTCTGTAGAGATAAGTGCCATTGCAAGTTCTCGCTCCGCTTTCTGGAGACAGTTCCGTTGCTCTCAAAGACAGTCCCCGCGCTCAACTAGTTCGTAGGCCTCCTTCCTTGTTCAAATACTCTGGTCCGCGACCTCAAGATTATCCCGCTTTCGCGGCTTCACAGCAAGTAGCGGAGGTGCTGTGGCTCTCACAAGTGGCAGATCTGACGCCTGACTAGTTGTCCCGCCCACCGAAACTCAATGGCAATTTCTCTCACAAGTGCAGTTTTTACATCGCGTTTTTTGTTTTTTCACACTGTGAGATAGTAACAGCGTTAGGTGAGGCGAAGAACCATTAGTAAGCCAGGGACTGCAGGATATCGCTTTATTGTCACGAAACGAGCAGTCGGGGAACTCGTACAGTGAGGCTGCCAGGAGATGTTCCTCACAATTTCTTTTGCTTTTTTTCCACTGGAGAGTCCTTAGTCTGCAGTTAGTAACTGTGCGTCACTATCAATACGCGATCGCTGCGTTTTTGTTCAAAAATAGTGTTTGTCTAAAGTGATACCTTCCTTTCCAGGTGTTTGGAACTGTCTACATTTACTGTTTTGTGTCGATGTTCATCTATGTTGTACTATCTTTGTTTATTGCAATAATAATGGATGCTTATGAGGTTGTGAAGGTGAGTATTCTGGGCGTAGGTACGCACGTGAGCAGCTTAGTCGGAGCTCGAAAGGCAGAGTTTTCTTTCTGAAATATGGGATTGATTAAGGATCGCTACTCTTACGGGCTGTCTGTGGAGCGTTCTTCACTGAAAGATTTCGTTGCAACGGCACCGGCTCCAGGAGCGTTGAACTCACCGTCAACGCAGGCACAATATGCGCCCTCGGCGCTTTTGAACCTCGGTCGGTAGGTTGTGATTAATTGTCGGGCACGTTTGGTTTGGGCTTCTTCTAACACTCGCACTCGTGATAAATCACCTGCCTGTGATAATCGAGATGTCGTCTGCTGTGAAAACGTCACCAGTAGTAGTAAGCTTACTCACCTGCTTTTTGCAACATTTCTGTCCACTTTTCTTAAGTTTCTAACATTACTGCAAGTGCTGACTTCTGTTACTTCTGCGCTTCTTTAACTCTCTCCTTCTTACTTATAATTCAGATTTTGTCCTCAAGTAACCTCTGGATGCCGTCATTCCCCAGCACATCACAGTCTCTGATTTCACAGTTTCTTAATGCTAGAGAGATTTTGAGATTTCGAGGCTGTTCGCCTCGAAGGGGGCATTTTGCGCTTTCTCTGGGTTCTCTTGTTAGTTCATTTAAGCACACATGGTGGCGTGTTGAAACTGAGGTGAATACTATGCAGTGCCCACACAAAGCCAAACTGCGCTGAGATTTTTTTCTTCGCCTAGATATGTTCCTTCTTACATCCTTCGAGTGAAGGCGAGGCGAGTTCGTTGTGGAGGTCCCACTCTTATTGCTTCATGGCTAATTAAACTAATTATTCGAAACCAAGAACATTATGGCTGACCAAAAAGAAAAACACTGCGATAGCATTAGCGAGCGGATGGGGCTCGTGACAAGGAGTGCGGGTCAGGAGATCCGCGTAGGAGCGACGCGCAGCTAGCTAGTACTTCTTGGTTGATCAACCCGACAGCACTATCTGATTTTTGGACCGTTTTCATACATTGCGGACGAAGCGATTTAGTTGCGCGATACTGTCCAACCGCGCCTCCCTCGTTAATAGTCGAATCGGGGCAACTATTAATCAAACTTGGTATGGCAAATTAACCAGCAGCTGCAGCGGTCCGATGATTAGCAGTGAAGCGCGGTCGGTCGCAATCAGTCCGGGGTGTTTGAAATCGAAATATTGTTATTCGTTATGGCCGAGATGTATGATCGCTACCTAACTGGTTCAAAGCCTTCGAAACTGAGACCGCATTGTGATCGTAGGTTTTCCTAGCGGTAGTTTTGGCCAACGCTGTGCCTTCGGGGGTATTCTGACCTCCTGAGCACGGTTGTGCATCCGCTTGAAATAAAAACGCTTGATGCTTGCGCTATTGGAATCAGAATCACGGGCTAGTTTTGGCGCGGGCGCCAATAGCATACGTACACGCGCCAGGTCCAAACAAATGCATATTAGTGCTCAGGGGTCGAATTATCCCGAGTTTTCGGCGCATTTGATTGCCCCCAGATATTTTGGCGTCAGCTCCTGTCGTGCAGAGGCTAGGCTGTATCGGGTTGAACGGACGTGATATTCGTGTTGAAGGAGTCAAATCACACAAGGGGTATCCTAGCCAACACTTTCCAAGGGATTTTTTGTGGTTAAATCTGGATTAAATTTCACAATGGGAGAATGACCGGTGTACAGTACCGATTCGGCACGAGGTAGCATTTTCTGGCTAGATCAGTGATCTGTTAGGCGCGAATGCCGCGCACGTGGTACCATTCGGAACGCAGTGCCGTCGCTACTCGGGTCTCATAATCCTCACTCCTTGACAAGTTTTGCTGTATAGTAGCATCCTGTAAATGTGGCTCTAGTAAAAGATGGAATGATTTGTCCTGCCAAAATTACTTAGGGAAGATCACAAGAACCCCGGTAAACGTCTTCATCGAAACTGTACAGATGTATTGATTTCATATGATAAATTTTTCAGCTCAAAGCGAGTAAAAATTAAAAAGGTCTCCTCTACCGATAGCAGAACCGGCCTTCAAGCATAACATGTTCTCCGCTAAGACATGGATTTCT